TTTTTAGAACAGAAATTTGTGTATATTTATCGTGGTTTTTATTATCGCCTGTTCACCGCCCTGAGTCCCGTAAGGGAGATAGGGCGGTATATAAATCCAATAAATAATAATAATAATTAGATACTAAATAAAAGCAATCAACATAAAACATAAGATACAAACAACAAAGCGATAATCATGAGATGCTCAAGGAATAGGTAATAGGCCATCCGGAGAGACGGCCACAATAATGAAATCTGCAAGTCCACTTTATCAGGACCAATTATTACAGGCAGATTACATGCAACTGCCCACGTGCCCATCAAAAAGAATCAAGAGTGGGGAAAAAAAAAAATCTGCAGACAGTCAAATGCAAAATGTTCAAAGGATTTCTAACACTTCTATGCCGACTGAACCGCAAGGGGCCATTCACAATAGCTACAAATGACAACATCTTCCTTTGCGCGTCTCCTTTAGAAGAGCAGAAACAGCAACCTCAATTAAGGCCTGCAATGAAGGAGAATCTCAGCTGCTCTTTGAACACTCTTTCTTCCTTTCTTTTTTCTTTAAAAAAAAAACAAAACATATTTGAAGGTACGATCACAAGGGCTGTGTGCGTGAAGACAATTTCCAGAGAGTGCGAAAGGCTCTCTGGGACTGTTCTTTGTTCTTCCCCCCCGGCCGTGAAAACTTGAAAATTACATTGTGGATTGTCCCAAAGGACAAAGAGTCCAGCCTTTCCCCAAAGAGTCCAGCATTTCCCTGCTCCAAGGATCAAGCATTCAACTCACGGAAGCCACCACGGCTCTGGAGAGGGCGCCTTCGTCACCGTCCCATCTCTGCCCCATTCCCTGGGGCAGGAACACCCCTCCCAGCGAAGCCAGCAGAGCCCTGATCAAGAAGATAAGAAAGCTGTTAGTTCACTCAGAGAAAAACTGTGGCTGGCGTTTTGTTTTTTAAAAAAATATTCAGATATACTGGGAGAAACCTGCTATACAGGGCAGGAGTCTACCTCTGGCAAATCTTCACTGCCTTTGGCATGCTGAAGTAGAAAAGCCATTTATTTTTCCAAATAGGGAGAAATACCGCTTGAAACCTGAAAGTCACGGGTTAAGTTCCTTGCGAGGAAGGAAAATGTGATCGTAGCTTCAGCCCAGGGGCTCAGAAGTCATGGAAAGTGTGCAAAAATAAAGACAAACATGCATTTAAGGGTGCACTGGGTCTGCAGGGTCTGGTTAAGTTGGGTTTTTTTTTAAAAAAAGCTTGGTTCTGAATTGTGCATCTTTTAATAGGGTGACTCAAGACCCCCAAACCTCTCCAGATAGAAAGCTAAATTCCGTATCTTGGTTGTGGGCAGAACACATCCTGCAAATGATTAAAATGCTGTTATTTCATTTAAAAAGACTCCCGGAATTGGATTTATTAGAAACAAATGGTAAAAGCTTTTTCCAAGACAGAGCCTCCCACACACATTTCAAAAAAAAGAGGAGAAAAGTGAAAGCAAGGGAAGGAAAAGAAAGACTCCGTAGAAAACCCAGGAGGTCTTTAAGAAAAGATTGGACAGGCCTCGTGGAATAAGGTCTCGTGTCTTGGGCAGGGGGTCAGAGTGGATGACCTCCGAGGTCCCTTTCAACCGTATGGTTCTAAATGAAGTTTACATATTTGCATCTCAGGGACCCGCAAACTAAGAAATGGTGCTTAATGTCACTTAATGAGTTTAGGGGTAAAATGGCTTTGAACCCTGACTTTATTTTAAAGACTGCACTATGCAGAACCAAAATTTATCCTGCCCTGTGTTAGCATGGGACAATTATATTTTCAGATAATCAATTGGAACAAGGAAAAGTATTATTCCGAGTTTCGTGAGAATCCAGGAGAAAGGCATGAGAAAGTATAGGATCTCACTCCTATGGATACAAGTCCAACTTATAACTGGCTTGCATGTCAAATTAATATGTCATTGTTTATTTTGCCTATTGTTTCTTTTTAGCATGCAGAAGCAATAAGAAGTAACAATGCAGTGGAGATGTTACTATTAAGTATTCAGCTTAAGACAAAAACTTTTATTGCACAACAATTATTCTGATGCAATTTGCAGTTGTTTATAAAGGCTATCTTTAGTTTTGGACATAAAATTTAAACCTGATGGTCATGAATACTGATTATTTCAAATCACAGTTAACACTGACATAAACATCTTCCTTTTTCTCCATCTCCATCTTGAGATGGTATAGGTTCTCCTGCTTGAGCAGAGGGCTGGACTAGAAGACCTCCAAGGTCTCTTCCAGCTCTATTCTATTCTATTCTATTCTATTCTATTCTATTCTATTCTATTCTATTCTATTCTATTCTATTCTATTCTATTCTATTCCATTCCATTCCAACTTATCTAAAACTAATGTGTTAATAATCTCTCATTAATACTGTACAAATACCCCTGTATCAAAATAATACATTACTTAGGATTCATAATAATGTAATAAAATAGATTTTAAAGAAAGATTAAAATCTTTTCCAGGATGATGAATCTACCTGTAGGAGGGAGTGAAGGTGTTGTTCTCCCAAGCCACTCGAGGGATGGCTACACCCTGGGAGGCCAAAAGGAACGGAAGCCACAGCCCATCCAGATGAGACTTGTGAGTGGAAAGGAAAACCATAGGAGTATTAGCCTGGTGGGTAGGGGAAAAATATAGAGATTAAGTTCCAGCAAGAGAGAATTGCATGAGCATGCACTCCAAAATACAGGTAGTCCTTGACTTACAACCATTAGTTTAGTGACCGTCTGAAGCTACAACTATTAGAATGCCTTTGGAAATGCTGCTAATAACTTATTACTAAAATAAGGTCAAGATGACAAGCATTTGTCTAAAGTCACCAGGAGCCAAGCTCATCTTGATGGCCCCTATCTAACTTCCCCCTAGGATCCAATGCTCAACCCTTAAAAGCCCTTTGGATGATGTAGAAGGGTCAGGGATATTATCACCCAGAAGCCTTGCCTAGCTAACTGCATCTTCAATTATCCAATTATCCATTTCTTTTCCCAAATCATTCCCATGGGGAAAGATCAATCAATCAATCAGAATAGAGCTGGAAGGGACCTTGGAGGTCTTCTAGTCCAACCCCTGCACAAGCAGGACACCCTATACAATTTGAGACAAGTGTCTGTCCAGTCTCTTCTTAAAAACCTCCAGTGATGAAGCACCCACAACTTCTGAAGGCAAGACCTTCCTCTGGTTAATTGTTCTGTTAGGAAGTTTCTCCTTAATTCCAGGTTGCTTCTCTCCTTGACTAGTTTCCATCTACTGCTTCTTGTCCTGCCTTCTGGTGCTTTGGCAAATAAGTTGACCCCCTCTTCTTTGTGGCAGCCCCTCAAATACTGGAATACTACTATCATGTCACCCCTAGTCCTTCTTTTCTCTAGACTAGCCATACCCAACCGTTCTTCATATGTTTTAGTCAAAGGGCTGGGGGAAAAAACAGACCCAGGAAACTACAGACCAATCAGTCTAATATCAATACCTGGGAAGATCCTAGAAAAGATAATAAAAAAACAGATCTGTGAAAACTAGAAACAAACAAAGTCATAACTAGCAACAAGCACAGATTTGTTAAAAACAGATCACGCAAAACCAATCTCATCTCATTCTTCGATAAAGTGACCAAACTATTCTATTCTATTCTATTCTATTCTATTCTATTCTATTCTATTCTATTCTATTCTATTCTATTCTATTCTACTCTACTCTACTCTACTCTACTCTATTCTTATTCTTATTCTATTTTCTCCAGGCTTTTAGTCATCTTAGTTGCTCTTCTATACACTTTTCCAAAGCCCCAACATCTTTTTTATAATGTGGGGACCAAAGCTGGGTGCAGGATTCCAGGTGTGGCCTTACTAAGGCTTTATAAACATCTCAGGAAGACCTGCTCTCTTATCACCTCTCCTGCTCTGTGCACCATCTCCAGCTGCCCTTTGTGGACTATCACTTTGAGGAACATCCGGGTCAGGAATTTTAGCAGAACCCAGTGGCAGAACCTAAAGGAAGAAAAGATGTTAAGGGTCAGAGAAGAAGCGCACTCAGCTCAGCAAGTCTGTGCAAGCTTATTAGCAGCTTCTAAAGAGGGGTTGAACAATACACTCCGGGTATATTTGATCATCTGCTGTATTTTTCAACAAGTTCCCCTCATCTTGCTCTGAAGATTCCTGTCCAACTACCGGTAGGAAGGCAAATCCATGACATTTTGGAGTGTCACCACCTGCTTTGGTGTGTGGTTAGGTGCATTCATTGTCGGACTCTGCAAATTTATCCCTGCCCCCCCCCAAGAAATCATTGAGTTTACAACTAAAGGTGACTTTGGACCGTGTGCTAAAAAATAAACCAGGTTATGACTGAGCATTGCTTTGCATGCTAATGTGATCTTAGCAAAGGGGGAAAAAATTATGTAGCAATTTGTATGGCTCCCAAGGGTTTGACTTGCAAATCTAAGCTCAAATAACGTCAGGATAAAATCCTTAAGAATTTTTAAATCGTTTTTTAGCATTCTAAAAGGCTCCTAAGAAATGGGGGAAGAGGATGGAGGCTTGTCACAATGCAAAGGGCAGGTTTTTTGGCCCTGCCATGGAAAACAGAAAATTGTTGATTATTATCATCACCAGACCGTCAAAAAGAGGTGTTCGGAAAAGCTAAATGGCTTATCAGTGATCAAAAATATATAACGTAAAGAATAACTATCATATCATCAATTACTGTAAACACAGCATAAGCAATCCCCAACATAATTTTCATAACACCATAATAAGTAGTAGCCTCGTAGTCAATCTAGGGGCGAGTTTACACATTCTTAATCTTAAAATTCCTAAAAGTTTGTCTGCAGAGCAGTGGTTGAAGATAAATTTTATCTATCTATCATCTATCTATCTATCTATCTATCTATCTATCTATCTATCTATCTATCTATCTATCTATCTATCTATCTATCTATCTATCTATCTATCTATCTATCTATCTATCTATCTACTTAAGTCTGTCTGCCGCCCATCTCGCTACAAGCAAGAATAAATTCTCTTTAAAGGCCTCTAAGCACTGTTGTCAAATTCCTGCAGTGCACAACCTGGGAAATTCCCCGCCCTCATTCACGTAATGGGAGAGACCCCTTTAGGAGCTGCCCCCATTTTCCCCACTCACAAGACCTGCAGAGGCTGAACCAGGACAGGAGGCCATACCAATGTTCTAATGAGATTTTCGGGGGCAGGGCTGGATGGCATTCCAGGCCTATCTTCTGACTGGGGAAAGTCAGAAAGAAGTACCTACGCCGTGCTTAAATATACCCCAGAGCCATTGAATTGCAACCCAGTATTTACTCAAAAATCCAAAGATCCCCAAGCTGGGGAAGATCCTGGACACCTTCTGGGAGAAGCTGGATAGACCTCCTCTCCAGGTGGGCCCCCGCTGGGTTGCCAGAGAAGGTTGCACCAAATGCACGTGAATGCAGCCAGCTGCTCTGGGCTGCAAGTGGGAAAAGCCCAGCAATCCCTCTTTCTCTTTCAAACATTTCCACCCCTCAATTCGTCCAGGCAGAGCCAAGCTGGGGACCCACCTCAAGAGGAAAGGAGAGAGGGGGGCTTGTATCTGGCAGAGAATTCTCTGGATCTCTTTCATCCACTCTTCTGCAGACAAGTCGGTCCTTGCAGCATCCCCTGCGCCTTTTAGGGACACAGCCTCTTGCACTCTGGTTGAGAGAAGGAAAAGAGAAAAAGCCTCAAAAGTGACGGACAGACTCTGTATGACATTTTGCCACAGAAAGTGGGCAAAATGAACACATCAGTCGCACGACAGAATCCCTTGTGAAAATATGACGCACTCTGTTGGTTTTGGTTTTTGCTCTTTCAAACTTCCAGCATCATCTTTTGAGCAGGAAGGTCAGGTGGAAAGTTCTTTTCCTTGACCTTTTTTTACACAAGAGGTTCCAAAGGCTGAGAACTTCAGCACTGCAATTTAAAAAACACAAAATATTTGTGTTTTAAAACCCCTCTCTGGACTTGAAAAGAAATCACATCACAGAATTCTTTTGAATTTGCTCCAGTCATTCAGGATGCTGGAAAACATAAGGTTCTTTTTTCAATTTTTTTTTAAAAAACCATTTTTCCCCCCAGAAAAGGCAAGGTTTCTCCCCAAGGGATGCATGGCTTTACAAAACAGAGGGAGATAACTTGGTTAAGATATACAATATGTCATTTTATCAACGAATTTATTTAACCCTGGAGATGGCTTTATGGTGGTCAATTAATATGATCCCCTCCCCTTTTTCGGTAAAATAATTCCAAGCAAAGGGTAACACAAATTTTAAAAAATGAGGTTTAATTACTCTTATGCAAGCACATAAAGGCCCACTAGCATCATTGTTTGTTTGTGTGTGTTTCCACCCCTTCTCCAGTGTATCTTTTGCTTTTAGTCTCTGCATTTCCTTCTTGATCTTTTTGGCCCTGCAGTTTCCATAATATGTATTTTTAAAGCCCCCTTTTTAAAAACTACCGTGCATTAGTCATTTTTCTGTATAAAAATCTACACAATTCACAATGATACTTTTTGAAATGGCAGGCTCCCACTTTCCGCAGTGCATTAACTGTTCACAAGGGACACACCACCATCTTCCATGTCACTCATCAAGAAGTATTCAATCACCAAGGGATTTTAGCAACTTTGCCTTAACAAACCCTGGTTGCAACAGCCAGCCTGTAACTTCTCTATCACAGGCCAGCACAAAGGTTCAAGAAGCGCACATAACAATCGGAGACCGTTCCCCAGGAGCTTTGGGATAGTAGATGAAACAACACAGCCGCAAAGAAAGATCTGAAAATAGCTTAAAAGACACGTGAAGTATTAGTACCCCTTTATACTTCTTTGGTAAAACCACACTTAAACCAATGAGGAAGTTGGCAGGTTATTGTCACGTATCTCCCTTAATGTCCGTGGTGATTGGTTTAATAACCGGAAGGGATCTGCTCTAATCATGCTGGGCAATCCACATTCTCACGTTGAAGAGAAGAGTTGCCAGAGGCCTCCTCCACTGAAGGAAGTCCATTGTCTTGTCTCGTATCTGGGATACCTGGACTATCTCTGCCTCTGATTAGGGGCTGCCACAAAGAAGAGGGGGTCAACCTATTTTCCAAAGCACCTGAAGGCAAAACTAGAAGCAATGAATGGAAATGAACCATGGAGAGAAGCAACCTAGAACGAAGGAGAAATTTCCTAACAGTGAGAACAATTAATCAGTGGAACGGCTTGCCTCCAGAAGTTGTGGCTGCTCCATCGCTGGAGGTTTTCAAGAAGAGACTGGACAGCCATTTGTCCAGAATGGTATAGGGTTTCCTGCTTGAGCAGGGAGTTGGACTAGAAGACCTCCAAGGTCCCTTCCAGCTCTGATATTCTGATTACATTTTAGAAGCATTGTTGTGAAGGTAGTTTTCAAGGAAAGCATTTTGGGAAGATCTCACAATCCTGGAGTCTGGTGTATTGGGTTGGCTAGAATGTGATTTATGCTTTTGTTTTGGTTAACTTTAATCGTACTCGGCCTGATGTGTTATAAGCCATCTGAATCCTTAGGCGTGGAGTATCGACCAAGGTAAATGAAATGGATGTCAATCAAAAGATGTCCAACAAGTGTGGGCTACACCCCCAACGAGCGAAGTCTCCATCTCACAGCAATACCTTTGGGTGTGAAAGAGTCTTTCTTGGAGATTGGGTGGCATTTCAGCAGAAAGCCTCCAGTCACATACAGTCAGGAAGTGACACAGCCTCCTTACAAGCCAGCCTCTGTACCTGGAACCAAAGGACCACATCAGTTAAAAACAGCAACCATCACGTGCCACAGGTGAGGGGTTATCCACGAGGGTGGTTGTCAAGGTCACAAATACACAAACTAAGCCTGTCCACGGTCCACTAAAAGGGGGCTAGTTCGTTGTGGTCACCACCTTGATTTTGCCACAGATTAAAAATGGGGAAAAGAGAGCAGCGGCTCCAAATGCAGCACTGGTACACACCCCACTAACAATGGCTCAATTTGCACAAAACATAATCTCTGCAAATCAATGGCTTGGCTGATTCCTCCAAAGCACGGTTGTGTAAATGTCAGGAGTAACACGCAGCTCTAAAGAGATCTGGAAGGGCCCAAGTGGATGGCCTCCTATTTAAAAAGAGAAGAAGAAAAAAACCCCAAATCTTTCCTTTCCATCAAATCTTTTCTCTCCTCCCTGCTGTTAACAACACTGAGCACTTTAGGGATTTTAGTTTTCAAAGAACCTCATGAAGTGCAATTAAAGTAATTAGGAATCAGGCTAATGAGGATAAAGTCTCTAATCCTCACTCAGCTCCTATGAGGGAAAAAGCTTTGTTATCTACATACTGTATTAATTCAGAGGAGATGGGAGACAGGAATAGGAGAGAAAAATAATAAGAAAAATCAAGAGCAACAGAAAGTCAGTGATTTAAGTCAAACGCAGCGGGTCTTAGAAAGAAGGACCCAGATATTCTCATAAGCAGAAGCTTAACAAGACTTAATCCTGCGCATCCCACTGACATAAGCAGAGTCGGCAGAAATGTTAACTGAGAGGGTCCCTTTGGGTTAAAACTGGCTTGTACAACAGCTAATATCTTTCCCAGTTTACTGCTTTGGACAAAATGCAAACTATACTGTTGTAGGATCCCAATTGGGTCGGTCATCGGGATGAGAGGTTTTGTCTTCAGAGGTTCCAGACTCATCCTGGAGCCCGTCGTGAGGGAACTTCTCTCCACCAGAATGTCCTCATTCGGACATCGATCTTCCTGACCCAGAACAAGGGAGCTGAGCTTTCTCTCTCCTTAAGTCATGGAGGCTTTAGGACAGGATTTCCCAATCTTGATAACATTAAGGACATTCCGGTAGAGAGAAATTCTCCGAGGTTGACCTCCAGCACAAGTCCAAAAGCTTGGAAGACTGAATCTCTGGTCCTGGTGACCGACCCAGATTGGATCCTGCCACATTATCCTGGCACAAGTGTATTTGCCTCCATTCATGAAACTATATTGTGTTAAAGGGCAGGGGTGGGGAACCATGACCCTTTTATGACTTGCGGACTTCAACCCCCAGAATTCCTGAGCCAGCATGGCTCAAGTCATAAGAGGGCCCATGGTTCCCCACCCTGATGTAGAAGTTACCATCGAATGCCTACGTTTTACGATTGTAAAGTTCCTACGGAGATTGCAGGAGAAGACAACATCCTCCAAGCATGGTTAAGCATACACCAAGGTGGGTTAAGCATACACCAAGGTGGAAGCCAAGCCACTTTGCAAGCTTAGCCATGAGTAGAAACGAATGTGTTGGATTCATCCCCCTCCCCTCTCCTCAACTCAACTCACCTGGTGTTTTCTTCTGTTATCTTGATCACATTGCGAAATCCCATGGAAGCCAGGGGCTTGTGAAAGAAAAATCCCTGAAGATCAAAAAGGACACAATTTAAAGACTGCAGCTCCTCTGCCCTTCTGGCCCTCAAAATCAAGAGCCTTCTCTGTCCTCCCAGCTACAAGAGGACAACAGCACAAGACATTACAAATGACCACGGCTTTGTCCTTATTAGGACATCGATCTTCCTAACCCAGAAGAAGGGAACTGAGCTCTCTCTCTCTCCATAAGTGATATACCAGATGCTCTAGGTCAGGGGTTCCCAATCTTGACCGCATGGACTTCAGCTCCCAGAATTCCCCAGCCAGTATAGTTGTTAAACAAGTGGTCATAAGCTGAGGATTATCTCTGTGCACTAATTTCCTCCTTTTGACGGTTTCAGAAGACCTACTTCTGGAAATTTCAAGGAACGGCTGCTGGAATTGGGTATGTCTAGTTTAATGAAGAGAAGGACGAGGGGGGACATGATAGCAGTCTTCCAATATCTCAGGGGCTGCCCCAAAGAAGAGGGAGTCAAGCTATTCTCCAAGGCGCCTGGAGGCAGGACAAGAAGCAACGGGTGGAAACTGATCAAGGAGAGAAGCAATCTAGAACTAAGGAGAAACTTCCTGACAGTGAGAACAATTAACCAGTGGGACAATCTGCCTCCAGAAGTTGTGAATGCTCCAACACTGGAAGTTTTTAAGAAGAGACTGGACAGCCATTTGTCCGAAATGGTATAGGGTTTCCTGCCTGAGCAGGGGGTTGGACTAGATGACCTTCAAGGTCCCTTCCAACTTTACTATTATTATTATTATTATTATTATTATTATTATTATTATTATTATTATTATTATTATTATTATTATNATAATAAAAATAAATATATAGGCACCGGCCCAAAGACCAGATTTGGCTTGGGTTAACCCCCTCTCCCCAATTCTACAGGAAAAAAGGAAGCAACAGGAATTCAAGAAAACCGAGTTTTTTCCACGTTGGCTCATCAGCAGCGTGGGAACCCAATAAAAACAGAATAAAACGCCGAACAAAAAAATAGATTTTTGATACAATCAAGCCAGCTTTCTTTATCCCTCCCTTTCCATCAATTCCTTACCCAGCTCTTTGGGGTGCATTTTTGACAGCAGCGCCCCACAAAGGAACGATATTTGCCCAAAAAGGGTCTGACAATTTCCAGGTTGACCCCCAAGTCCATGGTCAGGTTTGGATCTGAGGAAGAATCAAATAACTTTAATTAGTCACAAGGGAATAACAAAATTGACAAGGCTGATGTTTTTAACCATAGTATTAGACAAAGAATGCTTCACTTCAATAGACTGCCTTCAGCAGAAATCAATCAAGTGCTATCACAGCAGTCCAAATGTTTAAGTTGTTTTTAACCCTTATGTCTACTTTTGGGGGAAAAAGTACGGAAGAACATAGAATAATAGAGTTGGAAAGGACCTTGGAGGCAGGACAAGAAACAATGGATGGAGAATAATCAAGGAGAGAAGCAACCTGGAATTAAGGAGAAACTTCCTAACTGTGAGGACAATTAACCAGTGGAACGGCTTCCCTTCAGACGTTGCGGGTGCTCCATCACTGGAGGTCTTTAAGAAGAGGCTGGACAGTCACTTGTCTGAAATGGTATAGCTCGGAAGCGACGCGGGTGTATTCCAGCCCTCCCGACCGCCGGGCTCTCGACGAGCACCGAGCACGCATCTCCCACAAGAGCCCGAGCAAGCGTCGTCTGAACGGGGCCACGGCTCCCGCCATACTCACCCAGCCGGAGGCGGGAGACCCGCAGCGCCAGCCGGGGAGGACTGAGAGCGAGGAGCGGCCCTGCCTGTCCCGCCCGGCTTTTGCAGCAGGCAGACGCGCGACACGCACGCACGTGTGGACGCGCTTTCCAGGAAGAAAAAGCCGCGCAAACTTTGAATTGGGGCCGGGGGGAGGGAAGGAGGGCTTGCTTCCAAATAAACGACTGCGTGACACTCTCCACGCCCCAGCCCCACCCCGCCCAGGTGTGAATGCGCCTTTCGCCTACCTAATGGGCAGGAGCCGGGATGGCGGCGCTGCTTTGCAACGTCCCGCGGGACCCGGGCTCGGGACGGGCTCGCGGGACCCTCCCCGGACAGGCCGCGGCTTGTTCGGACCACTTTCACGCCACGCGCCCTCCGGTCCTATGAAACCGACCCCGACACGAGAGAGTGGGGCTGCAATGCCCACAGCGGTCGCTAGATGGCGCTAAAGAACAAGGCTTCTAGAACAGTGTTTCTCAACCTTGACAATTTTAAGGCATGTGGACTTCAACTCCCAGAATTCCACAGCCAGCATTGCTGGCTGTGGAATTCTGGGAGCTGAAGTCCACATGCCTTAAAATTGTCAAGGTTGAGAAACACTGTTCTAGAACTTGGGCTTTTTTTTGCAGGCCAAACTTGCACCTCAACCATGGTTAGCTACCGACTGACAACCATTCGTTTAGTGACTGTTTTGAAGTTGCAGAGGCCCTGAAAAGAGCGAGCTAGGACTGCTTTTCACACTTAACAACCCTTGCAGTGTCCCCACGGTCACATGATCAAAATTCGGGCGCTTGGCAACTGACTTGTATTTATGACGGTTGCAGCCTCCTGGGGTCATGTGATTCCCCTTTGGTGACCTGACCAGCAAAGTCAATGGAGAAGCCGGATTCACTTAACAACCACGTTACTAAATTAACAACTGCAGTGATTCACTTAACAGCTGTGGCAAGAAAGGTTGTAAAATGGGACAACGCTCACTTAACCGTCTTGCTTAGCAACGTAAATGTTGGGCTCGATTTGGTCACAAGTCGAGGACTACTTGTATAGGATGCCCCCAGCTGGGTTATTGGAGGAGCCGAAACAGGTTACCAAATGCATCCTCGGTGGTGTACATGGGTTGATTCCTAAACAACAAATTAAATGCAGGAAGTAAAAGACAGTGGCACTTAGGAACGATCCCTTGCAGAATAGTTGGTGTTGCAATAAACAGCAGTTTATGTTTTAATCCACCCCGAGATTGAGCAAACCAACCTTCCCCATCCTGCCCCCAGATGCACCAACAGAGATTAATTATTCCATGCCTTCTTAGTTATTCATATTTTCCCCAAAGAACAGCCAACCACAACATTTGGGAACACAACACTGCCAGTACAACAAGCCATAAATGAACATATTCGTTTTCCTTTTCATTAGCAGCAACCTTCATAATAAATTTAATTCGAGGTGTTTGTGAGGCTGTGTGCAAATATTAATTAACCCTCCTATTGGTTCTACTACAGCAATAGCCTACTCAGATCAACAGTGGTGATTGTCCTAAGGCTTGCATTAATTTTCTGCCCCAAGTGAAACAAAGTTATGGCTTCGAATGTTTTCATCAATCTGGTTTTCAGCTGGGGTTTCTGAATCGGCCAACAATAACGACGTCTTCAATTTTCTTTCTTTTCAACTTCAGGGTTCAGCACTGAGATGTAATTCTAAAAATGTAACCTCTGTATATTTAAAGTCTCCGTTAGCACAAGTCTATTAAAAACACGTTCATGTATTGATTTAAGATCATGCAAATTCTTTTTCAAGTTTGTCACAAGGGAACCAGCACCACTCTGTTACCATATACAACCGAATAACTGTAGTGATGTGTTTATTCCACAGTTGACCTAAGCCAGGGGTAGGCAACCTTGGCTCTTTTATGACTCGTGGACTTCAAATCCCAGAATTCCCGAGCCAGCATGGCTGGCTCGGGAATTCTGCGATTTGAAGTCCACGAGTCATAAAAGAGCCAAGGTTGCCTACCCCCGACCTAAGCTGTCTACATTGGTTTATTTTTATTATAATTTCCTTATATTCTGGTGAAGTTTCACCTGTGTAGCCAGACAAGGAAGGGAAGAGAGAAAAGGAGAATGTTTGTAGCCCTGGTTGAAGTGAGGGGTCTTTGGTTGCTTTCTTTCATTTTCCAAACTAGGTAACGTAAGTGTTAGAAGGGAGTGTGGTGTCAGGAGTGGAGGAGCAGCTTAGCAAAATGTGTGAATCCAGTACTGTTACTGAATTTAGTAGCATTTGCAGCCAAAGGGCATTGGCCAAGCAGCTAATTCTGCAATAATCAATAACTTCAGATGTGGAGGATGTGAAGGTTAGCATCTCAGACCCATTTCCTTTTGATGTCAACAGACATGTTATCGACTTTTAGCAAATGCTAGATCAAACTCTGCAACCAATGAACTTCACCCAGGACTGCAAGCAAACATTTTAAGGATAAAAGTTCTTTTTTAAAAAAATGATGGAATAAATAGCAATTTTGCTCAGAGACCTTTTAAATCATCAATACATCTTTAGCCATCTGTTTTGTTTGCAACGTTTTCCTTTAAAGGGAAAAGTTTTTTTTTTTAAGGAGTCTTCAATTAAAATCAAGAATAAACACACAAACATGAAATGGGCACTAATGTGTCCTGAAACACAACAGTCAGGATTGAACCCACTCCCTAACACACACACAAACACAGACCCCTTCAATTTGTACAAAATGGGTTTTTTTGTTTTTTGTTTTAATAAAGATGTTGGTAGCCAAGTTCTGAGGCTCAAATCTATTAAGGTCAAATTAAAGGGCATCTGAAAAAGTGGCTGACACCACCTCTGGATTGGTGAGAAACATTCCATACAAATAAAGGGGTTTTAAATTAAATTTTTAGTAGGAGCAGCCAAATCTGAATAGTTATTTTTAAATCTTTTTAAATTTTGTATTGTACTGTACTATTGTTTTAAACTGGCTGTAAGCCGCCCTGAGTCCTCCGGGAGAAGGGCGGGGTATAAATTTAATAAAATCAAAATCAAAATCAAATCAAACAAGAATTGGGAGACATTTTTTTTCCTTTCAGATGAAAGCAGAAGGACAAATTGTAAAGGACATAGCTGGTCACAGCAAGAAAGCGAGATGCAGCTGGACGGAAGAGAAGAAATAGGGGTGACTTGATAGCAGTCTTCTAATATTTGAGGGGCTGTCACAGAAAAGAGGGGGTCGAGCTATTCTCCAGAGCTCAAGAACAAAATGTAATGGATAAAGGTTTATCCAAGAGAGATCCAACCTAGAATTAAGGAGAAATTTCCTAACAATGAGTTCTGTCTGTCTATCATCTATCTATCTATCCATCTATCATCTCTCTCTCTAATCCATCCATCCTTCCATCCATTACAGGTTTTTTTTATGAATAAAAAAATAAATATAAAAAATAAATAAAAATAAAAAATAAATATAAAAAAGAGCAGAAAAAAAGAAAACACCGCAAAGAAAAAAACAACAGATAACTAAAAAAATTGGAGTCAATTACCTCAAACCCATCATCTTCCCTCGCTCTTAACCATTCTGATGATCATTCTAGCCCCTTAATTAATCCTCATCATTTTCAGTCATCAAATCCATAAATCATTTCATTCCCCCCCCCCCTCTTTGAGCAAAAAGTCCATTAAACGGTTTCCAGTCTTTCCAGGAAAGTACTTATGGTTTTCTCCCTGACCAGAGATGACTTCCTTGCAGTTGAATTGAATTGAACTGAAACTTTATTTGGCCAAGTATGATTAGACACACAAGGAATTTGTGTCAATTGTCCCAACGTGCAGCCTTGCAAGAGAGCAACATTAAAGGGATCAAAGTGCCCTTCAAAAGTTGACGGAGTTAGTAGCAGAGATGGGTAAACTGACTGCTCTGATTAAAGAAGAAAACACCATTACTTCTGTTTCTACTTGGAAACCACTTCTGGACTTTGTACTTCAGGTGGGGAAAAAAAATGAAACGTTGATTTTGGGTTTTACTGATTAGATAGATTTGTTGCCCTTAAGACCTGGTTATTTCAGCAGGCAGGACTGGCCTAGGGGTATTTTAAAGGGGTTTTAAATTAAATTTTTAGTAGAAGCGGCCAAATTTAAATAGTTATTTTTAATCTTTTTAAATTTTGTATTGTATCACTGTTTTAAACTGGCTGTAAGCCGCCCTGAGTCCTCCGGGAGAAGGGCGGGGTATAAATTTAATAAAATCTCAAAAATCTTTAATAAAAAATGGCTAGCTTATGTTACTATATAAAACTTATGGCTAGCTATAGAAATGGCTAGCTTATGGCTTATGGCTAACTATAGAAATGGCTAGCTTATGTTACTATATAAAAGTAAAAAGTTGAGGATTGATGCTATTATCTTATTCTACTACACCAGTGTTTCTCAACCTGGGCAACTTTAAGATGGATGGACTTCAACTCCCAGAATTCCCCAGCCAGCTTTGCTGGCTGGGGAATTCTGGGAGTTGAAGTCCATCCATCTTAAAGTTGCCCAGGTTGAGAAACACTGTACTACACCAAAGGGACTCAAAAGTCAACGCCTTTTCTTTCTTTTTTCCCTTTGCCCTACATTTTTCCCTTCCCTTTACTCTTACTTTCCGACTATTTTCTTTTGCATTTTTGGGGTATTTTATATTATAAACTAATTAAACAAAGAAAGCAGCTATAAGGGGAATATGATTAGTTCAAGGTTGGAATGTTGGGGCCTTCTATTTCTGGGCTTTGGTTTCCTTCTTCCAAATGGTACATTTTTTTAAAAAAAGTGCCTTCCATTGCAGCCAACTGGAACACAGCAACCCTAATCCATGCAAAGAGTAATTTTCCCAGGCATCACAAATATCTTAGGAACCACCAGTAGATTCCTTCAGCTGCTGGGCATTGCCGTTGCCTGCAAAGCAACTCATCTCTTCAAAGCATTTTAAGCCCCCCCGAAGAAGACAGAACAGAAATTATTTACACAATGCAATGCGACAACAGGCAGAAGATTAGCAGCGTTGGCAGTCAAAGGCTATAATAAACATGCTTCAATTCCACAACCCATAGACAAATTTAACCACAAATTCAGCTGGGATGCTGGGACAATTTTCCACCAAGCCAAATCCAAGAATTTCTACAATTTCTGGCATCTGTTAAATCAGCCGTGATTGGTAAGAATAAACCTGGTTTAAGGTTATTAGCCAATTTCACTCTGTCCTGCCTGGGATGATGTTGTCTAGCCTGGTAACAAAACCTCTGCAGGACAACAACCATATTCAGAGATGTAAACAAATAAATATAAATAAATAACAGGAATTATTTATATACCACAATTGAGCCCAAACTTTCTGTTGTTAAGCAAGACAATTGTTGAGTTTTGCCCCGTTTTGTGACCTTTCTTGCCCCAGTTAAGTGAATCATTGCAGTTGTTAAGTTAGTAACACGGTTGTTAAGTGAATTGGGCTCCCCATTGACTTTGTCAGAAGGTCACAAAAGGGAATCAATGATCTTGGGACACAGCAACCAGCAACCGTCATAAAGATGAGTCAGTTGCCAAGCGTCTGAATTTTGATTGGGTGACCAGTTACTTGGGTGGGCAGCATTAAAACTTTACAGGAGCAGAAGGAAGTCTGCTGATGGCTTTTTAAAGAATGTTGTGAATGACTTTTTGTAATTGGGAGAGGATTGATACCTATATTACTGAGTTTGACAGGGCTAATTTCTCCAGCTTGGGGTTCTCCAGCTGTATCAATGGGTTCATTCCAGACACTCCAGCTGGCAGGGGGTTCAACCCATTTGGGGAGCAAAAGATTGGCAAGAATAAGATGTGCTATGTTAGCCACTTACAATATGTGCCTAGCCCTAGGAGAAAAGATAATGTTACTTCTTTATTGCAGGAAGTTCTCTCCATGGAGATGAAGCTTGCTCACTTTGGGAGCTCTTTAGGTAAGAAATTGAAGCACTCAGATAAAATACAATAGAAAAACAAAATGAAAAGCCATTTCATCTGGTTCTGCAGAAAGCAAAAATTTGTTGTGTTCCCCCAAAGAGGGAAGGAAGAGGAGCATTAAACAAATGTAAGTTTGATAGCCTTTTAAAT